AGCAGGAAGCATGTGGGTTTTTGGTTACGGATCTTTGATTTGGAAAGTTGACTTTCCATACGAGGAGAAACGAGTGGGTTTCGTCAAAGGTTTCAGTCGCAGATTCTGGCAGGGAAGTACGGATCATCGAGGAGTGCCTGGAAAGGTATGGACCAGATTATTCCCTATCAAAGTCATTCGAGTGTATGAACAGCAGGCGTGCAGTCGTAGTGACCTTTCAGTATGACAGAGCACTTTACACAGTACGATTAACACTTTTACTTCTTATTGATTCTATTTCAGCCTGGCCGAGTGGTGACCTTAATAGAGGACCTCGAGGTAATGACTGTCAATACTGCTTACAATGCCGATATATAGCTCATTACATTCCACGAATGCGGTATACTTTTTTTGTCCTGTTAAATGTTTGTTTTTTTTTCTAAACATGGAAGGCACTTTTTTTTTTAGACTTTAGATATATTTGATAAATTATTATCTAATATAATTTTTTACTACATTTGTAATTACCTTGCATTAAATTATTATACATTGTAATTATACAACATAATAAAAAATATATTATTTTATATTTTATAATATAAAAATGAACATTTAAAATAAACTGTTACTTATATAACCTTGAATGAAATGTAGCTAGTTTTAAACTTCACATTTTTGTACCCAACCTTAAAATGGTGGTTATGCAGTATTTTTAGTGTCAATAATAATAGTTTATACATTTCTTATTTTATTTTTTGAAACAAATTATTATCAAACAATTAACCTCGCATGAAATTTAAATAGTTTTAAACACATAAAATTAGGGGTGCTCCGATCAGGATTTTTGAGGCCGATCACATAAAGCAGTATCTGCCGATACCGATCTTTTTAAAGCCTTCTTTTTATCACAATAAATATAAGCAACACATTATTCAATGCTTTTACTTTTGCATTTACTTAGATTTACATATTAAGTTGCTCAAGCAAGTGGCAAAACTAACATTTAAACTACTTTTCTTACGTTATCACAAACTTACCATTGACAGAAATAGTCTATGAAATAGCCAATGTGTGTGCTCTGCTGCGAGTGTGCATGAATGGTTTTCAAATTACTTTATAAGTTATTTAATTAAGAAATGTGAAGGCGAGTACCTCACCTTCAGCATTATAATTATTTCATCTGCGCAGGACAGAGACTGAGACGGTGTCGTCTCATGTCGTGCCAAACCTCTCACGGCAGCGTCATCAGCTTGAGATCGTTTTTTTTAGATCGGCCTTTTTAGAGACCGCCGATCAATCATCCCAAAGCGATTATCGGCTGATAGTGATCGGTAGCCGATCAATCGGAGCACCCCTACATAAAATGTCTGTATCCGGCCTTATAATGGTGATGTATTTTTAAATTAACTTAATTAACTAAAAATATTTTATTCATGTTTTTTTCCCCATTAATTTTTAAATAAACTATTATCTAACAATTTTCTTTCAATTCACTTTAATATTTTTAATTGTATTAAATAAAAAAAGATGTATTAAACCATTTTTATACATAGTTTATTAATTTACTTTAATATTTTTATACTTTTGTAAAAAAATAAATTCTAAGGTTCAACATAAGAGTCAACTTCTGTGATTTAAACACTTTCACTGACCATTTATTTAATAATATATATATTTTAAAGAGTTTTAGACCCTGTTTTGTTCTATATTAATGGGAAGTGCCATATATTATATTTGTGATGTATCATTTAATAATAGCATATGAGATTTACATACATTTCATTTACTTGCATTAATCCAGTAGATTTTTTTTCTTATGCTACATACAAATGAGAGTAATCCAAACATTTTGTCTTGTTGTTCGTTCACTCTCTATTTGCCTGCAGGGCTGTGTGTGGGGCGTTGCTTATAAGTTGCCATCAGGTCGAGAAAAGGAAGTGAAAGAGTATCTGGACTACAGAGAGAAAGGCGGTTACGGGGTGATCACGGTTACATTTCATCCCAAAGATGAAGGACACAAACCAATGCAGAACACATTGCTCTACATCGGCTCCTGTGACAACCCAAATTACCTTGGCCCAGCACCTTTGGAAACAATCGCTCAGCTGATTGTGAAGTCTGTAGGCCCCAGTGGCAAGAATACAGACTACCTCTTTGAGCTCGCCGATGCCATCAGGCAGCTAATACCTGAAGACTTAGATGATCACTTGTTCTCTTTGGAAAGTCTTGTGAAGGAGCTGCAGAAGCAGGAGGAGATGAAGTGATCTGATATAGTCTGCTTTGTCCTTAATCTTCTGGAAAAACTCAGGAATTGTCATTTTTTTTGTTCCTCATATATAGATTATGATATCTGATGTATGCTAAAAGGGATTACCTGATAAAGCATTAGATAAGCAGTACTTAAACTACTGTTGTTTTTAAGTAGGATTGTTTAATATATGGTAGTCTCTTGACAGAATGTTTTAATCTACACTTGATTTTACAATGTGACACTTCACATCATTTGTCTCGCGTTAAACCTTGAGATACAAATCAAGAACTTAAATGGATTTCAGTATATTGCACATAATATATAATGTCATTACGTCCATGAAAATGTAAATGAAGGGACAATTTAATTTTCAGAGGCTGGTTTATTTTACTCGGGATACTTGAATGTGTTACAAAGCCATTTCCTATTATTTTAAAAGTTCCTTACCATCCTAATCTTCAAATAAGCCATAGCAAGGTGAATCTCATGAACATAACATCTTTAAGTCACCAATTTACCCCCCAGAAAAAAATAAAAAAATAATTTGAATAAACCAAATTAAAAATGTTCTTGAAACCTTAATTTAACTTAAAGACATTTAACTGTTTTCCAACCAAAAATCACACTAACATTGTACTTTTTTTTTTTTTGCATTTCCTATTACAGAAAATAATAGATTTGTTTTTTTTTCTTTAATGTGGTCATTTTTAAATTATGAACAATTATTTTAGTTATGATTATGTCACAATGCAAAAAAAAAATATTTTCAGTTTTCCTCCTATCTATCTATGTATCTATCTGGGATTTATCTATTTTTATTCATAATTTATCAATTATTATTGTTTAAAAAAATGTCAATTGTTACAACTCCATTCTAGCACAAGTGTGTCGTGTGTACAGAATCTTTGTTGAGTTCATCACTGATACTAGGTAATAATAATGATGGCATATTTATTGTGAGACCCAGGTAATAAAAAATAAATAAATAAATAAAACATTTTAAGGAAGAAAAAAAAAAAAAGAGGCCTTTTGTTTTAATTTGTTAAAAACATTACATTTATTGGCCTTGAGAGTAAAACAAAGCAAACATCTAAAAAAATAATAAAAAATAGAGAAAATCACTGCAGTTTTGGCACTAAGCTAAATAATGTTTCTGTTATGTACACTTGCAAATGTAAAACGGAGCTAACCATAGTAGAACCTGAAGCCCTTCCTGGTGCCTTGTGTGATTCAGAGGACAATCTGAAGTGGTTCTGTACTGAGGCTGGAGTAAACAGTGACAGAAGAAAAAAAAAACAATCCTGGATTCTGTCACATGCCAATAAGAAATGGATCAAAATGTGATCAATTTGGTCAAACTACAAACATGCACACTCACACCGACATGTACACGTATCCCGCCGCCTTCCACAAACTCCCATACTGGATCCGGTCTGGCTGCTCTCGCTAGAAGACGTGTCAGTCGTTTATGCATAGATAAATGCATATGTACAGTACATGAATACATACATACACATATAAATAGGACACAAAACAAAACCCTGTTATGATGGCATGTGAGCAGAGAGCTACAGGACAATGTCACAGCTACCTTCAGACACACATACCACAATAACTTCAGAGTACTCAGACTTGCGTCCTCATGTGGTGATAAATAACGAGAGCTCAGCCCGAATATATTCTTCATCAAGTTAATAATGTGTTGAGCAACCATCGCCAACACTTTATTTTTCCCAAAGAGGTGCCTGCCGCATCAGATTACTGTGGAGGATTAGGTTGAAAAGATGCTGGCGTTAAAAAAAATGTCTCTATCCCACTCAACAAAGAATCATATGCTGCTAGATGTAAAATGTTTACTGAAAACAAAATGCTAAAAGATGAAAAATCTTCCAGTTAAATGCAGAAAAGTGGTTTTCAAATTACTAAACGTAATGGATTCAGTCGTTGGACTATCTTCACATGCTCAGATCGCTGAGAACCTCACGGCAGAGAGCATCATGGGGGCTTTGGAGTTGGATTTATGGGGCGATCCATAGGCATTCAGTCCATCACACAGTTCATGTCAACACACAGGATTATAGAGGAAAAAAATAATCTATCTGTACAATAATATTACAGACTGCAGGCCATACATTCCTGCACTGGTAAACCTTAAATATTAAGTATAGTTGAAATGCAAAAATTTGGGATAGATATATACATACAAACAGTACGTACGTCTAGGCTGTTAAATTACTCATCTCGTGTCTCCTTCGTGCCTATACGTGCCTCCTGCCCTCCTCTCATCATGTGCTCATGGTTTAGTGGGCTCCTGGGTCTGTATTCGAGAGGTTCTGCTATAGATGCTGAGATCCTGAGCATCTGTGTCCTCCCATCCCATCCTCATGAATGCATAAAATATTTTATTTGAATATGAAATAAAAAAAACTACAACAAAAACAAACTAAAACCTGCAGCAACATTGTTGCAACCTGAAAAAAAAATATATATAAATATCATCAGGTCACGATCATGCAATTAAGTAGAGTTTACAGACTAAAACAGCTTTCATTTATGAATTACTATGGCAAAAGAACATATTATTAGCACAGTCATAATCAGTAGGGAAAATCTACGGCTGTCTCAAACTTGAGCTGCCAACTTAAACAGCATTTACTGGTCATCACAGGAGTAATTTGCCCCAATACAGGAATAGTTCACCCAAAAATGAAAATGTGCTCTAAATTTACTCACCCTCAGGCCATCTAAGATCTAGATAAGTTCGTTTCTTCATCGGAACAGATTTAGAGAAATGTAGCATTACATCAATTGTTCACCAATGGATCCTCTGCAGTGAATGGGTACCGTCAGAATCAGAGTCCAAACAGTTGATGAAAAACAGCTGATTATTGTGATGTAATGCTACATTTCTTGAAATCTGTTCTGATGAAGAAACAAACTCATCTAGATCTTGGATTGCCTGCGGGTGAGCACATTTTCAGCAAGTTATCAATTTTTGGGCAAACAAGTGTTTTGTAACATACCCGTCTATGCATAGTAGCAGGGTGACACGAGAAGGTCTGTGAGCACCACAAGCTGGTCGTCTGTGAACTGCTGCTTGTGCTCCAGCCAGTTGTCGTGATGAGTACGGCGGAAATTAGACAGAGTCTTTTTCACGGTCATCTAAATCAGCCGGAGAGAGGCTTGTATTGATTTTTGTTAGATTTAATGGGCCCTAAGAGCGAAGAGCACAAGAGGGAGACAGAAAGCAATTGTGTTTGTTGTGATGTGACCGGTGTACCTCAATAGGCTGCGTGTCGTTGAGGTGTGCACTGAGGTCCATGAGGAGCTGAGGCATCCAGGTTGGGACATCATACGGGCTGGATAAGATGCAAGCACTGAGTCCCAGCACACCGGCGTGACGCCGTACCAGATCTGAGGATAGACAAACATGGGTTAAGTACAGCAAATGATTCTGTTCTTTTTTATTCCCCCAATAAAAGTATCTGAATATAGCTGTAAATGAAATTTGTATTTTTGTATTGTAGAAAGCTGTATTTATTTTTTTTTTAAATAAATAGATTGTTTATTTTTATGTACTTATGTTAAATGTTATTTGTTTTCTGGTAAATAATATAAAAACATTTAAAGCAAGATAAATCGGATTCTTGAGGCTTTTTTTTCTTTAAAAATAGTATACAAATAAAAAGAAAAATTTACATTAAAGAAAATTAGGTTTTTTTTTATTCACAGGGATATTCAGATACTTTTGAGAGAAAAAAAAGAATCAGATTTATCTTGTTTTAATGATATTTAGACGATTTACTAGAAAACAATTATTTCAAAGATAGTGTTTTAATTTATTTTTAGAGTAATATTGTTTCCCAGTAAAATTTCTAAATATTGTTAAAGCAAGATAAATTCACCAGAGCAGCAAAAAAAAAAAAAAAACTAACAAAACAAAAAAACAAACTTGTTTACAGATTTATCTTGTAATTTATCTTAAATATGATTGCACTTGGCCTGAGTTTTGCTTATCAAGTGAATGTATCGCGTCTTAAGGATATTTAAATATTTTATTTGAAAACAGAAAATATGCACATAAATAAAACACTAGAACTCTTTTTTTATTTTATTATTTACAGGCATTTCATGCCTTTTTGTGACAATAATTAGACCGAGGGAATGGGACTAGACTCAGACCAGACTTGAACTTAAATGACTTTGGTTCTTAAATTTTGCGGGCATTAAATGTTACCACTGTGCCATGGCTCTGATTCAAACAGCACAGCAATGCATGTGATTAAAGTGTGATCATACCAACTGAAGGAATGGTGTCCACCACAGAGCCTCTCTTCCTCTTTTTGGGTAATCTGGTTTTGCATAGAGCCTCAAAGTGAGTCTGCATGGAGGCATCCATTGCCAAGAAGTTACACTGCAAGAAGCCACTGAGAGTGGTGGCAGCCATCTCTCTCACCTAAGGCACAAAAATGCAAAGGGATGAAGGTTTAATGAATAAGGCTGCATAAAAGTGAATAAATGATGATGCCAGCATGCCAGTGTGGCCTATATTAAGCATGTGTGATATTACTATAAGTAATACTAAATATAATGTATATTGGGGCGAATATTTGCTAGTACCATAATGCCTGATTTCACCAGTAGATTAGATTTAAATAAGTACATTATTTTACTGGATATGCACTTTTTAAATATTTCTAGTGAATGCAATCACTGATAACACTATTATAAATAAGCAAAAACAATATTATAACAATAGACAGTAATATAATTCAATTATAAAATCATGAAATAGTAATGTCGTATATAATCAGTGTCACTTATTACAGGGTTTCTGCAGGATTTTAAAGCTCAAATTTAAGACTTTTTAAGACCTGCACAAATAAAATTAATACCATAT